CCAGATGGTGTCAGTGACCACTGGTGCTGCTGGTGGCTGGGCAAGGCAGGCCAGTGCTGCGGGAGTGTCGTGTGGGAGCTGAGTGCCTTCTTTGTTCCTCTCTTCTTAAAGGGCGTGATGAGGTAGAGATGTAAAGGAAGGGCTTGCCTCCACCGACAGATGAAGGGGTCAACCAAATGCAGTCTATACCCATGATGGAGTATTACTCAGCCTTAAAAAGGAGGGCAATTCTGACATATTCCACAACAGGGAGCAACCTTGAAGACATTATGCTGAGTGAAATAAACCAGTCACAAAAGGACAAATACTATATGATTCCACTTATGGGAGGTGCTCAGAGTAGTCAAAATCACAGAGACAGAAAGAAGAGGAGAGGTTACCAGGGGCTGGAGGAAGGGGGTAAGGGGTACAGGGTTTCTGTTTCAGGGGATGAAAAAGTTTTGAAAACAGAAGGGTGATGGTTTCAAAACATTGTGAATGTAATTAATGCCACTGAATCATATACTTAACAATGGTTAAAGTGGCAAATTTTATGTTATGTATATTTTACCAAAATAAAAAAATTTAAAAATTTAAAAATTTAAAAATAATAAAGGAAAGACTTAACCTTGTTCCAAGTGAGAACTGAATGTGGGCCGTAAAAGATGGGTTTTGTCCCCTGCCCTAGAGCCCACAAATGGCTCCTTGCCCCTGAACCATGACACCCTGCGCTCTCCGTGGCAGGCCCACCCACCCCACCCCACTCCCAGGCTGCTCTCCTGCTGGTACAGCCAAATGGGGGTAGCTGGGGCCTCTTCCTCGTCCCCAGCACTGACAGATGTGGCTGTGGCACTCAGGAAGGAAAGCTGAGCAGACTATTACCAACCATGGTGCAGGCTATGGGACCCTGGATTTCTGGCTCCTGGTGGACACGAAGCCAGCTCCACGGCAGGCAAGCTCCACTATCGCATATGGGCGTGACGGCAAATGAGCGAGAGAGCAGACCCCCAAGCTTTTTCTGTTTCCCCAGTTCCCTCCTTTTCTCTCAGGTCTGGGTGGTTCAGGAAAAGAATGATAAAACCATTCCCTTGCTCTCTCCTGCCACTGAGAATTATTCCTTTTGTTATTATTCCAAGACTCCCAATGAGTCTCGGGGGCTTGAGGCAGCCACTGGGCTTGGATGGAGCTCGTTGTCAGGCACAGACCCAGGGCAGAACATAAAAGACTCAGCCTTGACATTTTGCAGATGGAAACAAATTCTGCACAGTCATGGTTGGGCTCAGAAAAAGAGAGCATTTTAATTCAGGCAGAAGATGAAAACTCTTTACAGTCCTGGCGCTGGCGGGGGAGAAGTACCTGCCCGTGGGAGACCAACACTGACGTAAACTGACCCGTGACCATGACGTGGCTCTCACGCTCTATGAGCCTGAGCTCCCTTATCTGTAAAATGGGGCGACATCAAACACCCTCTTGTGGGGCTGTTGGCGCCTGCCCTCCCCATGGTGCACAGTCTATCGGTACCCCCTTCCAGTTTATTGGTCATGTCACACTTTGGTGGAGAAGGAGTGCGCTTGACTGGACCACTGATGTGTACTATTATTAATAGCTATTGTTTACTGAGCTGTTACTAGTGCCCCTCTCTGTTCTGAGAACTTTTAAATACGCATATAGATTTTGATGGTTCCCCACCCATAACTCCTCCCCATTGACCATTGCCATGCGTATTGGCCTAACTTCCAAATGCCATCATTTCTGAATCCATCTTGGGACACTGGCTGCTGGAGCCCACTATGCCCATGCACTGAATAAGCCAAAGTGCTGAGGAATTAAAGAACCCCAAGAGCAGCCCTCAATCAGAGCCCGATGGGGATCGGTGGAGCAGCACTCAGCTCCAGTGCCTCCCTGGCCGGGTAATGCTGATGGTGACTGAGCACCAGGTGTTCCCAGTGGCAGCACACCTTGCTACCTTCTTCCTCTCCCCTGACTCACATCCCTCTCCCCAAGTGGTGTTTCCTGAGATTCCCCTCCCAAATAAACGACTTACGTTGGGATCTCTCAGGATCTGCTTTTGGGGAACCCAAACTCAGATAACACATAATCTCACTTATTCTTTACATAGAACCTAGAGGTAGGGCCTTGATCTCCCTCTCACAGATGAGAAACTGAGGCTCAACGACCTTTAGTAACTTGTCTAAGTTCCTACGGTGATGAAGCTGGGCCTGAATTCCAGCATCTGGGTCCAGCGCCCCAGCCAAGCCCTCGATCACAGCAAGCCAACAAACCTGCCCAAAGCAGCAGATTGCCAGGGAAATCAGAGGCTGCAGAGGGGAAATCTCCATGCCCCACCCCTCCTTACCCCCTACCTGCACACAGGCACCAGCTGAGCAAGAGAGAGGGAGAGAGAGAAGGGGCGGGGAGAGCGTGCTCCAGGCCTCTAAAGTGCCCACCACCAGGTGGCGCCCTTTCCAGGAGGCTCAGCCGGCCTTAGCCGAGGATCTAGACACAGGCAAGTGGCGTTCACTAGGTCTGACCAGCTACTGCCAAGAACCAAGGTGTCCACCTTCTGCCTCTCCACAAAAGGCAGAACCTGAACTAGGACATTTCTCCGAGCTCGCGGGGCTTCTGAGCTGTTCGAGTAACACACACACTCACACTTCCCAGCTGTTAGCAGTCAGGGGACAGAGCACTCTTCTCTGCCAGGAAGGTGGAGAGTTCTAGAAACCCTCTCTGTGGTCACTCAGGGCAGCAAACCAAACTGCATCTCCACTCAGCATCCGCACTGTGGGTTGTTGCACCCCCACTCTGTCTCATCCTTCCCCCAGGCCTGTGGGTGGACCTGAGATGTGGGCCCACTGAGGCAGGTGCAACAGGACATTCATTTTGGTTGAACTGCCCACTGCTCTGGCCTCTGGCCTTGCCTGTGTACTTGGGAGGGCAGCAGCGAGGGAGCAGAGAAGCCTCCCTCCATTCTCTGAGGGGGTTCCAGCCCCTGCAGAAGTTCCTTGGGGCCCGGTGTCAGTGTCCCCAGGAAATGCCAAAGGACCACCCACAGCTAAGAGGGCTCCTGCTCCTGTCCCCTGCTGTTAAAGCTCCGACTCCAGACTGATATGCCGAGGAAAAGGAGTCAGACATTTTTTTTTTTTACATAATAAGCTGCACAAACCAACTCATATTCCTGAGAACACCCACAGAGCCTGCTATTTTTTCCAATTTATTTTAATGTTTAAAAATGTGTCACTGGCTGTCTTAGGTCAGAGTCCCCAAGCAGACGTTGAGATGAGCTTAGTGTACAAGTGATTCTTGAAGGATGCATTCTCGGGGGGGTCTCACCAGGGTGCCATCTGAGTAAAGTCCCAAGGAGGGTGGCTTCAGCCTGATCCCACAGGGGACTCTGCAGTGTAAGTGGCACCTCGGAATCCCCCCTCCTTCCTGCCTTCAGTGCACCTTGACAAGACTTCCACGTTCTCACACCAGTCTTTGGTTAAGGGCCACCCCAGAGCGACATAAATTCTCAGGCAATGCCTCCCCCAATAGTGCAAGGCGGGATCTCCAAAGAAGAGCCAGGGGCCAGCTATTGGAAGTGGAGGTGGGGACCACACACGTGCTTACATACAACAGTGAAAGGGGGTTTGAGGAATCTGGGCAGAGCATTAGCATTGTCCTGTAAACCTGCCTTATTCAGAGGATTCAGCATGGCTTAACAAAATTATCTACAATACAAAAAGGTAAAATGATTAATTGTTGGAGTTGAGACAGTGGAGAAACAGAGACATCAATCAATCAATCAATCAATCAATCAAACAGAGATAAATACATCCAGAAGGAAACTCAGTATACCAAGATATTTCTAGGTAAGGATTGTAATATTGGCACTGAGTTTCCCAGCAGGCAAAGCAAAGAGGGAAAAATGACTGAATGCAAGATTTATGATGCCCACAGGGCTTAGACCCTCTTGCTGGTCCCAGGGTGAAGAATGTTCTAAATACCAAATCCCCACATACAAGAGAGTCAGGTCAGAGCTGTCCAATAGAAACACAAAGCATGCTGCAAGTGTGAGTTCACATGTTCCAGTAGCCACAGCAAAAAAAGAAGAAACAGGCTCAAAAAATCCCACACAATGGAGTATGTCAAAGGGACACAGGAGCAAACTGAGAGAGCTTCCAACGGCCAAAGCTAGAACAACCAGATCAACAAAGTAAATAAAGTAATATTGGATTATAACCCAAAGAATAAAATAAATATCCATGACTCCATGCTGATATAAATAAATGATTGAACAAATAAATATGTGGCTGAGAAGAGATGAATTTCCCCTACAAAAGAATTCCAAATAATTTCCATCAATCTCTTCTCTCAAGGGAGAGGAGCACCACTCCCCAGTGTGTAGGCTGCACAACACGCGCTTCCGAAGACGGCGGTGGGCAGGGAAAGAGTCGCTTCACCGCGGAGAACCTGGCAAACCCCGCCTCGGCCAGGCTGTCTAGGGGAACGTTGACAGTTGGCCCCTTCATACGATGTGATGGGAAGGGCACTTTACCTCTGTGGTCTTCCTCCCCAAACCCATAACCCCAGTCTAATCAGGAGAAAATCTCGATGACTTACAGTTGAGGGACACTCTACACAACACCTGACCAGTACTCCTCATAACAGGGTCATCAAAACAGGGAAAGTGTGACACCGTCACAGCCAAGAGGAGCCTAAGGAGAAAGGGAGACTAAACGTAATGCGATATCCTGGTTGGGATCCTCTAACAGAAAAACAGCATTAGGTGAAAATTAGGGAAATTTGAGTAAAGTGTGGACTTTAGTCAATAATGATGTATCAGTACTGGCTCATTAATTGTAACAACTATATCATACTAATGTTAAGATGTTAATAATAGGGAAACTGGGTGTGGGGCTTATGGGACCTCTCCATATTACCTTTGCAATTTTTCTGTAAATCTCAAAGTGTTCTAAAGTAAAAAGTTTATTTTAAAAAAGGAGAAGTAGGTGGAATTAATTTTAATCACGTATTTTATTTAACCCTCTATATTCAAAATATTGTCATTGCACCCTGTGAGCAGTACAAAACATTTACTAACGAAATAGCTTACATTCTTCTTTCATACGAAGTCTTTCAAACCCAGTGTGTGTTTACACTTACAGCACATCTCAGTTTGGGTGCTAAATTTTCATTGGGAATATTGATCTGTATTTAGTTAGGCTTCATAAAACTTAGCATAAAAAAATTCACATACCCAAATTGTTCCAAACACACTTAAGAGTTTTCTAATAACTGAATCAAATATCATTTTTTAAATTAAAATTAAAATAAATTAGAAATTCCATTCCTCAGTCACAGTAGCTCGATAGCTGCATGTGGCTGGCGGCTGCCATATTGGACAATATAGGTATGAACAGCTAATCATACCATGTTCCAGCTTGTCTGAAACTGTCTTGATTCTAAATATTCTTTTCCAGTGTTCGTGAAGTATGCCTGGTCTTGTCAGGTTGGGTCTGAGTGGTCAGTTTGAAAAGCACAGTTACCACATCAAGCGACTTAGGGGATGTTCGGAAACCTGGCATGGACCTTCCTTCGCTGGAACCTCCAGTTACTCTCCCTTTAGACAATTCGCTCTGCCATGCCTTGGTTACCCTGGCTCCAAAGAAAGATGGCAGTGCCTTTTCCTGTCCTATGTGGGACCACACCAGAACGATGAGCCGTTCCAGAAGGTAATTTGGCATCAAGTATCAAAAGCCTTAAATATCCTCATAACCATTGACCCAAGAGGTTCCCTTCTATGAATTTAACCCAATCAACTAGAAAGGCATGCTGAGATTCACAAGCAAGCGTCATCTAAGCAGAGATGGATTTAATGGAAAGAAAAATGGAATATAATCTATATACCCCAAAATAGTTAAGTAGATAGCTTAAATAAATCATGGTGCGTTCATCCCAGTAAATGTTATGCAACCATTAAAAAACAGTTTTGAAGAAAATTTAATCATTCACAAAATACTCATTAAAAAAAAAGAGTGTCAATATTATAGGTCAAAATAGTCAATGAGAAAGAGAAGCTGTCGTTTCAGTGTGGCAAATTTTTATCTAAACCAGGTCAGTTGCCCCACTGCCCAGAACAATTGTAAAGCAGGATTATAACAGGCGGGGCTACAAAGTGAGAACACCCAGAGCAAGTGTCACTTGGGGGCAAAGAGGAGGACTATAAAAAATCAAATCCTGTCTGAGCACTCAGAGCCAATAATCTGAGCGGTCTCTGACCTGTTGCCCTTTACGCCACCTCAGCCAGTGCCGAGGCAGCCCCGCTCTCTCAGCTAAGGGAAGACAGTCGTGCCTCTGGGGAGAAACCAACAGAGGAGTAAGGAGGAGATGATGGAGATACGACGTAAACCCATGGTCTTAGCGCTTCTGTAACAGCTTTAGTGTAAGCGCTGCCCAGTTTAGAAATCCTTGTCATTGTGGGCGTGTTCTGTCTCCATTTTAAGGCGTTTAAAACACATGAGAAAATCTATATATATTGGAGACTGGTAATCAATTGCTTAGGGAAGTTTAATTGATCACACTTCAATCAATGTTTAAGCATTTGGGGAAACTGAATTTGTTAGCTTCTTATATTTTCGATTTAGTGGTCATGAGTCCTGTGAATATTTAGAAGTGATTGTAATGGTGATTATTTAAAGTGGTGATTATTTAAAGATAATAAACAAAGTACACAAAGTGGTGGGTATTCCTTTCCACAAACAAAAGTGCTTTAGACATTAAAGAATCTTGTCAACCAACAAGCTATGTAAGTGTCCAGTCACAGTAATACACACACAAACACGTACACATAGAGAAAAGACTGGAAGGAAATCAACAAAGATGTTAACTGTAGTTCTCTTTGGTTGATGAGATGACGGGATTTTTGTTTTCTTCTCTATGGTCTTGTTCCCCAAATTTTCTAAAATGAAATCATATTACCATCATAATTGGAAAAAATAACGTATGTTATGATAGAAGTCATGAGGATCCTGTGAAGGTGGAATTTGCTTGGATGTGTAAAACATGACCATCAATAAAATCCCAATCATCTCCTGAGACCTCATTTCTACTGTAGACAAAAAACTCTTGTTCTTGCCGTTGTAGCATCTCAGACTCTCTCGGGTTAAAATCATTTCCTTTTGAGTAATTACTTCATCTTTGGGTTTCTCCATCACCCCAAGGGGTTTCCTTCTCCTTCTTCATTCCAAGATGGCAGCTGGTTGCAGAGGAAGCTTGTGTGTCTTCAGGTCTTGCGGCACAGTTACATGTTGCCTGGGGGTTGGAGGCTGCCTGGCTGCCTTGGCCTCACCTGCCTCTCACTGAGGCTCCTGCTTCCCTGAGGCCTGCACGGAAAGCCATTTGACCCCTGGTTTGAGAAGTCCATCCTGAAGCTCTGGTCACTTTGCCTTTTGCCGTGATGACGTCCTAGTGAACTCACCAGCTAGCACCTCAGCTACTTTTCAGGTTCCCCTGTGGCACACAGGAACTTCTGGACCTCCTCCACATCATATGCTGGATCATTACGAACCAGGGGTGCTATCTCAGGCCCAACCCACCAGAGCATCTCCCTCAGTCATCTCTACTCCTTGGCTTGGGCGCCATGTTGGATGCAGTATCAGGCTGACCCAAAGGCTCCTCTGAAAGATGTGAAGACTCCTCAGGCTACATCTGGGGAAGTGGGGGCACCAGCCCTGAAGTTCTTGGAGGCCCTAAAACTACCTGGATGTTCCCGTCCTCCCTTACCCCTGGAGTTTGATCCCAATGGGAGGGGTGGTGAGAACCAGCACACCACCTGACCCCTGCCTGCATTTCCTTGCCCCATTTCTCAATTCTTTCCCCAAGTCTCAAAATCACTGTTCTCCTTCCTGTGGGGTAGAAACTTCCCTTTTGTCATATCCTCATTCTGCCCTGCTCTATGACTCACAAAATGAGCATTCAACCTCTCTCAGCTTTGATTGTTTGATGTGTGAAAACTCCAGCCTTCGGAGTTTTAAGAAAAACCTTTCTCTGAAAAGTCTGGCTTTCGAGACCATTGTCTTGCTATGAAATTTTAAGACTACTTTAAAACTCAAAGCTGAGAAATGGTGTCTTTGATTCCCGCTGTAGCCGCCCCTTTCTTCCTTAGAGAGGTTTGCATCTGCTTCGAGGCCCAGGCTGTAAGGAAGGAAAAGAACGGATTATAGAGAAAGGAATACGTATTAGATGATATTCAAAACATGACCTCAGTGCATTATTTAAAAATAGATATAAACGAAAACAAAAACTAAGAATAAATATCACTTTATATCTGTCAAGTGAGGAAAAAAATCTTCCAATCTAACACTGATGAGGATATGCTGACGCGGGCACGGGTGAGTAGAAGTTTGTGAAACCAATTCGGAACCTGATTTGGCAAAACGTGCCCCTATTCAGCCCCTCCGGGAGAACGAGTGCCCTCTGCAGGAAAGGATACTCCTGGGAAATAGGCCTTTACCCATTTTCAGGGTGAACACTCAGGAATGTGCTAGAGTTGTTCTGTACCACCCCAGCACTGAGTGGGTGGGTATGTAGCCAGAGTCTCCAAAACTTTTGGGGTTGCAGTGGCAGTAACGGAGATAAACCGACTCACCCTCCCATGAGAATGGCAGAGGCCTGCTCCTGTGCCTGGCAGAGCCCTTGCTCTGTGAGGTTGGCATCTCTCATGGAGGGCTGTCCTTCTGGGGACCTGGGGCACGTGGGAAGCCTCACCTCTCTCTGGAAGCCGGCTGGGTCGTCTCTTGCTTTCTAACCATTTCCACACGTTTCCACACCCCTCATCATTAAAGAGACTTTGCTTCCTCTCCCCATGTCTGTTGTATCTGTCCATCCGGCACGGCATATCCTGTGATGACACCCATGTCACAATGGCTTCTCAACACAGGCCTCCCAAAAAGACTCTCTCAGCTGCTCCTGAAAACATCGTGCTTCTGTAAACACTCAGACAGCTCATCAAAATCTCGAGCTGTAACCATGGGGAAAATATCGAAACATGGATCTGCCCCTGCAATCAGAACAGCTTAATCCACATTCCCGACAATGCCTGAATTTTTGTCAGCCCCAAAGGGGTTCCCAGAAGGGCTTCCTCATCCCCAGAAGATAAACCAGCACCTAAGGGGATACCACCTGGGTCAGGGAGCGTATTTCCTGGTGTTACTATGTCACATTCACGTGATCTGTTCGTTGAGCAAAGATCTAAATTCTCGAGCCTGGTGTTCGTGGACAGGGCGCTCAAGCTGAGCCTGAGCCCGGCTTCTTCGCAGTCTTGGTGAGCAGAAGGGGACCTGAAGGGGAATGGGTGAAAAGGGGCAGACTTGTCTCACTCTTTCAAAACTTGAACAAACTTTCCTGCTTTCCTCCAGCCAGGAGTTCGAATTCACCTTTGAAGGAAGTCTGCTTCTTTGGGGGAAAAAACCTTTAACGGACGTATTAGTCAGAAATTTTTTGGTTCTTGCGGGCATAAACCCATTTCAAACCAGCATGGGCCAAAAGGGGAATTTGCTGGACTTAGTAATTAAAGCTCAGGAAGTTGAGGCCTCAGGAGAGACGAGAGCTAAGGCTCGCTCACAATTCTCTCTCCCTCTTCCTTGTGTCTGCTGCTCTTGGCTCCTTGGCTTTCTCCACAGGCCAGAACCAACTTCACAGCCGCCCCTCACCTGGCTCTGGCACCCACACCTACCCATTCCACAAGAGATCCAGGGAATGTCTACCTTGCAGTCTTTGTGAGGGGTAGAGAAGGATGAGGAGGCCCCAGCCATGACAACAGCTGAGGGCAAAGGTTAGGTAGGGGATGGATGGAGAGTGTGTCTAGGTCCCACAGACTTCACAGAACCTTGGGAGCTGAGATGAAGACCAGGGTTGCCATAGACTGTTGTGTAGGTTGTGTACTGCACCACCCTAAGTACACCACACGCTGGTGAGAGCTGAGCCAATCATTCTGGAAGAAGTTATAATGCATTGCTCATGCTGAGAAAACAAATCACGGGTGACACAAGCCACAGACTCTTAAGCAGGGGACACAGTGAGAAGAGGCAATACAAAAGTTGGGTCAGATGAAGTATACCTCAGTCCAGACCAGTGGGAGCCGGCAGAGAAGGATAGCCCTGCAGAGCCCACCTAACCGATCTCAGTTTTTAGAGGAAAAGGCTGGGGAAGACGCCTTGCTGAGGAGCAAGGGCCTCCTTAGGGAGCGTGCGCTCTAAATCGGCTGCAGGACATGATTATGTAAAGTGTTTTCGGTCAAGTTTTTATTAAAGGATCAGAAAAGGGCACAAATCCTAAGTGCCCAATCTGATGCATTTTCTTAATAAAGTAAACACACCCGTGTAGCCAGCACCCAGATCAAGACCCCGAATTTACCAGCACCCGCAGCCCCTCAGGCCCCTTGCAGGTGTTACCCCAAGTCAGTCGTGCACTTTTCTGGACGTTTGCCAGACTTCAGTGAAAGCCTCAAGCACCACAGGCTGGCTCTGCCTGGATTTGGACTTTGTGCAGCCGCACACGTGCCATTGGTGCTCTTTCGTGGCTGCCTCCTGTGGCCCGCCATCCTGTTTGTGACATGTCCCCATGCTGCTGTGTGCCATCACGGCTCGTGCAGCCCCTCTGCTGTGTGGCATCTCATGGAGGGAATACGCCCGTCTGAGTCAGCTCGGGCCACCTGCCACAAAGTACAGCAGACTGGCCGGCTTAAACAACAGAATCTGGAGGCCAGAAGTTCAAGATCAAGGAGTCAGTAGGCTTGGTTGCCTCTGAGGCCTATCTCCTTGGCTTGCAGACGCCGCCTTCTCACTTTGTCCTCACGCGGTCTTTCCTCTGTGCACACACGTCAGGTATCTTTCTGCGCATCCACATTTCCTCTTTTTGTGAGGACACCAGGCAGATCAGTCTAGGGCACACCTTCACAGTCTCTTTTTAACTTGATCACCTTTTTAAAGCTCCTATCTTTAAATACAGTCACATTCTGAGGTACTGCGGGTTAGGACTTCAACACACTGATTTTAGGGGACACAGCACAGCACATAGCACTGTCACTATCATTAACAGGCAGGTGAGTCATTTCTGGTTTCCAGCAATTGTCAATAGGTCTCCTGGAACATTCTTGCACACTTTTTTCAAAACACACGCATCCACTTTGATTCACTATATTCCTAGGAGTGGCATTTCTAGGGTGTACGGTCTGCAGGTGTTCAGCTGGAGCAGATCCTGCCAGTTTCCCAGCATGGTTATCCCAATTTACTCTCCCATCTGCAATGGAGGAGAGTTACAATTGTCCCACATCCTCTCCCACACTTGGAACTGTCAGCCTTTTAACTTTAGCCGTTCTGGTGGATGTATAGCAGTATTTCATTAGTGTTATACTGAGCCTTGAATGAGCTGAACTGTATCTCCCCCAGAGGCGTATGTTCAAGCCTGAACCCCAGTGACACTGTATTTGGAGAGAGGGCCTATAAGGAGGTAATTAGGGTTAAATGAGCTCATAAGGATGGGGCCTAGATCCAAGAGGATCAGTGTCCTTCTGAGAAGAGACTCCAGAGAGCTCTCTGCTCTTTCTCTCCCCTCTCCTCCTCCTCTGCAGTGTGAGGAGACAGCAGTGAGGCAGCCATCCATCTAAAAGCCAGGAAGAGCTCCTCCGGCTGGCACCTTGACCTTGGGCTTCCAGCCTCCAGAACTGTGAGAAATAAGTTTCTACTGTTTAAGCCCCTCAGCCTGTGGTATTTTGTTCCAGCAGCCCGAGCTGACTAAGGCAAGCCGCTTTTTTGTAAACTCATTGGGAGTCTGAATATTCTCTTTCACAAAGTGCCACTTAAGTCATTTGCCCACTTTCTATTGAGCTGTCAATCTTATCTCTTGATGCATATGAGGTCTCTGTGTTTTTGAATCCTCTGTTGGATATATTTATTACAAATATCTTCTCTTAGTCTGTAACTTCTCTTCCACACTTAAGGTTGTCTTTTCATGATCAGAAGTTCTTAATTCTGATGTAGTCCAGTTTATTAAATGTTCCCCTTATGGTTAGTGCTTTTTGTGTTATACAGAAGAAATCTTTTCCTATTCCAGAGACTGTTAATTTTAAAGGCAATTTTAAGTAAAAAGCAATGAAGGTTCTGGGGCCAGCCCGGTGGCGCAGCAGTTAAGTTCGCACATTCTGCTCCAGTAGCCCAGAATTCACCGGTTCGGATCCTGGGTGCGGACATATGCACCACTTGGCAAGCCATGCTGTGGCAGGCGTCCCACATAAAATAGAGGAAGATGGGCATGGATGTTAGCTCAGGGCCAGTCTTCCTCAGCAAAAAGAGGAAGATTGGTGGCAGGTGATAGCTCAGGGCTAATCTTCCTCCAAAAAAAGAAAAAAGAAAAAAGAAGAAAAAAAGCAATGAAGGTTCAAAGTAGGATGGGTCATTTAGAGAAAAAAATTTAAGCAGCATTTTTATGTACATTTCAGTTGTAATGTGAAATTTTCTACTCCATAATATATATGCTGGATTTAATTAGATTCTGAAAATGAACTTAACTGGGTAGACACTTTTAAAAATTAATCATAGAATATCAGTGTTGGAAGAAGCTTAAGTCTTGCCGTTTGCCAGTTTGATTCAGGTCAACAGCTGTCCACCAAGCATTCTCTGTGCCAAGCGCTCTGCTAGGAATGAGGACGGTGGGAGGTGGAGAAGCGGCCGCGTCCACAGCGGAGGGCGGGCAGGGAAGGCGGCGCACCCACGTTATCGGGATGCTGATGCTCAGCGAGAGCGTCTGGGAAGGAGGCGTGTCCCGGGCACCACGTGACTGTGGCCCCGGAGGAGAAAGGCACTTTTGCTTGAGGGGAGGCCTTCCGAAGAGAGAGATATAGGAAGTGGATCTTAATCTGCCGCAGGTGAGTTCTCGGGGTGGCTACGGAGGGCGTTTTATTCCGGGAGAGGGAATACATGATCTGATCTGTGGTGCGTGTTCATAAGGGGCTGGGCTTGAGTGGGGCATGTGGAGCCTGCCTTACAAGGCTTCTGTGTGCCTTGGGGGCCCAGACTCCACAGCAAAACCTGCAAACATGCCTCCCCAAACTGTGATGGCAACAGGTGACTGGCTGGGAAATCTGGGATCCTGGATCCAAGGACCAAGGCCAGGATGCTGGCTGGGCTGCATCTCCGACTTGGTAGCATCTCATTGCCTAGATTGGCTCTTTGGGGGAGTAGGTGGTTTCTCAATTCACCGGAGAAGACCCTCTTGCAGAAAAATTGGTTTGGAAGACCCGAACGTGAAAAAGCAGCCATGGGAAAGGAGTCTCCCTTTGCTGAATCCCCCAGAGTGATAATTGCCTGCCTTTATTATAACCATGTTTTGATTTTAAATGCCTTGCTTCTTGCAATAATGCATACCTGGCAAAGAAGCAAGTTTGAGACTGGTTGCAAAATGAAAAAAGAGGCTCAGTGGATAATTAAGAGGGAATGGAAAGAGAACAGACTTGATTAAGCACCAGTTGAGCTCAAGGCTGTTCTAAACACTTTGCTCATTTTATCTTATTTGATTATAACACAAAAGTAGGGTATGATATTCCCCATTTTACAGTTTCCATGAGCAAACAGAGATTCAGAGAGGTTAAGTGACTTGCCAAAAGTCCCACAGCCAGAATTCACACTTGGGTTTGAGCTCCACCTTCTCTGGCTAGAATTACTGCAAAGAAAAGAAAGTGCATGATGGGTGTGGGGCCTGGTTATTTCATTGCCACATAAAAGAGGACAAACAGCCCCAGCGAGGAGAGGTTGGTAGCTTAGTATGACTTCAAGGGACCTTGGCAGTTCCATGAACATGTCTTTTCTGGCCAGAACCTCCTCACTTCTGCACAAGCCTACCCTTCCTAATAGTCACTTACGAATGTCCCTGTTTTTCTGCTATCCTGCCTCCAAATCTTCCCATCTTAGCCTTTCCTTTTAGAACGTTCTCTAGGCTTCTAAATAGGTTCTCTTTTCTGTTGATAAAAAACAGTAAGAATAATAATTTAAGGCTTTGATTCTAAGCCTGTTACATACGATTATCCTTCACTGGGCTGCACAACGGTTCCCTTATTGGCAATTTGTGAGTGTCCTTACACGCCTGTGGGCCTGAAGACTATCCCCTGAGTGCCTCTCCTGGTCTCCAAGTCCATTTGTCTTTCCAGCGCTCTCTCCCAACCCTACACTCCCCACCCGCCCAACCCCCTGGTAATTAAGTACCTTGCTGGTGTGCGATGCTCAGATGAAAGAACTCAGGGATGTTTCAATCAGCCAGCTGTCCCGGCTGCCCTGCGCCTTCGTCAGTGTCTGATGGATTTCTGCCCTCTCTTCACTCCTGAGGACTCTTAGTCTCTGCCTTTTTAGGAAAGGATTCCCCAGCAGGAGAGCGGGAGAGGTTTTCATCTGAGGTCCTGCGTATTAAACAGCATTCAGCAGGAGATGAGCTGACATGATGGAGGAGCTGGGCCGGGGCCAGAGTGGAGGCTCAAGCAGGTAGAAAAGGTGGCGGAATGCGGATCGGGAAGGGACACAGTCACAGATGGAGGCTGTCTGAAAGAAGCCAGCCTTGGGGAAGGCTCGGAAGGATGATTTCACCCACGTGGAGAGGGTGGTCGTGGTGGTATTTTCCAAAGATGGATGCAACAATGACTCCCACCCCTCTCCATCCCCCGTGTTCTTCTAGAACCTTGCTGCTCCTCCATCAAGAGGTGGGGTCTAATTCCCCTCTCCTTGACATTAGGTGAGCTTTTGTGACTGTTTTGATTCCTAATGTATCCTTGAAGTGATGCTACGTGAAGCTTCCAAGGCTAGGCCGGAAAAGGTGATCCATAGTCCACTTCGCGCCCTCTGGTCCTCAGTCTTGAAGCCTTCAGCCCTGAGGCCACCATGCTGTGAGGAGGCCTAAACTAGTCCCCAAGGAGAGGCCACACAGAGGCCCTGACACCACGTGACGAGACAGGTGCCCGGCAGCCACCTGTTTCTCCAGCCCCGGCTCTCTGAGCTCCAGCCGCTGTCTGACGGCAACCACATGTGAGACTGGAGCCCCAACCACCCCGATGAACCTTTCTCAAACTCCTCACCTACAGAAATCACGGGAGATTACATATGATTATTGTTGTAAGGTGCTAAATTGTGGGGTGATTTGTTACACAGCATTAGATAGCTGGAACAGCGGTTCTGGCCAAGTTTATATGAGACAAGAAATGAAGTAGAGAGTTGAAGTCATTGCAGATCATTTGAGGAAAGAAATATGTTTTCTGCCTTTCCTGGGCTTTTCATTAAATTAAATTGACAGAATCCTCACTAGCCTATGACTTCAAAATGGTGCCATCCTCGCTCATCACAGCCAGTGGTGATGGCCCAAGCACCAGCAGCTTGCCCACTGACTATCAGCAACCCTGTGAAACAACCTGCTACTTCTAGGAGTCCCATGGGGGTGTCCTCTTGGGCCTGCTAACGTGCTGAAATTTCCACCCGTCTCTGCCCCACCTCCTGCTCCAGCTCCCACTCCTCCTGGACAGGATCTTGGCCCACAAGGCCATTTGATGGAGCCTCCTCACTGCCACTGCTCAATACCAACCACCAAGGTGCAGCCCAAGGGTATGCCATCAGTGGTTCTGGGCAGAGGCAAGGAGATCAGTCCTCCCCAAGTCAGCACCCCGCCGTGCTCCCTGGACCCTAAGGCAGTTGTAATTGGGTCCAAGGTCTCAAAAAATCTCACTTGAGCAGCTTCGGTCTCTAATCCCTTTGTCTATCATGATTCAAAGCACAGGTGCCATAGCCTCCCTCCTGCAGTCCTTTCCCCTCCTTTCCCCTCCAGCCCATCCCCCGAATATAACTCATCCCTCTTCTCCTCATTAGAGATCAAAATCTCCCATGTATCCAAAAAGATGCTGGGCGGGAGTGGAGGGTTTTTTGTACATTGAGGTCCTACACAGCCCACCAAAACTGCTCTCTCAACTGGAATCATCTCAACCAACGGCCTCATCTCCACAAGGCACATCAGACCTTTAAGGAGCCAGAAATAAAGAAAAGGACTGTTTAAACTGCATTTCAGCGAAATGAGGGTAAAGAAATAGAGAAACAAAACCTGACAGCAATAAAACTCTTTCAGTTACAAGAATCCTTTCTGGTGAATGTCTTGGGAGCATCATTGCAAGTTTCGTTCTAGACTTGGGCAGACACCAGTGCCATTATGGGAATATATAACAACAGGGTTATTTGTAAACTATTTTGACCTAAAAATGCCTTTAAATTATACAGTACAGACGGAGATGACTTTGCACTGTAGACTGGAAGTGGGCCAAGGGCTCGTTACCCACATCAACGTCTACATGATCAGTTGGATACTGTGGGGGACTGGAATTGGCTACCCCAAGATATGTCTCTTTGGCATGAGGATTATTTGGGGCTGCTTACTTTTGAAAACTGCAGACATGAGAGAAACTCTGAAAAGTAGCATTTACTTACCCTTTGTTAAGAGACATTTATGTTTGTAAGGGAAATCTCCATCTGTAAAGGTGTCTCCCTCTCTGTACCAGGAAGAAGGGGGGATGACCTTCTCTCGAGAAACTCTTATCAATGCGGAAGGCAAGGACCTAAATCTGCACTGTAACCTTACCCTTGTTTACTGTGCTTTTCTGGTAACCTCCCATAACTGACACCCCCCACTCCCCAACATCCTCCTTTGTCTTTAGCTGAGGATGGTACTTAAGGTGAGAGCTTCCACCATTTTGGCTAGTTACTCAGTTTTTCTGGGTCTCTCCCATGCATACATGTTATAAAGCTTTGTTTAATTTTCTCCTGTTATTCTGTCATGTGAATTTAATTCATTGTCTGGCCAGAAGGACCTAGAGCAGGTAGAGGAAATGTCTTCCTCCCCTACAATACCTTAGTGGAAAGGTGTTTCCATCAGGGCCCTGGGGTCTGCAAGGAGAACTGTGGTTGGACTGAATGTTTTTGCAACCATGCAGAACAGAATCTGAGGTGAAATCTGTAGCTATTTCCCTACCTGGATTGTCCAGACAAGACATTAAAGATGAGGAAACTCTTTCCTGAGACCTTATGGAAATTAAAGACATGGTGAAGAGATGAAAAGCAAAGACATAGCTGTAAAGAGTCTGAGACAAGGGAAAACGTGTTCAGTGTTCAAAAAAGTCAGTGGAAAAGGCATTGGAATGGAAATGTAGAAGCAGAAATGACTGTGACTGCAGATTGCAAATGACATCTCATCAGAGACTCTCCCGTGGTGAGAAACAGCATATTCAACACAGCTGAGACTCATCGCCACTCAGATAATACCTTCCCCAGCCCTACCTGCCCTGAGGTTTTGCAGGAAATAACCAAAATGTCCTCAGTAACAGCAGTACCTCACCCCCAGCAGAGAGCTCTGTCTGAGCCACGTCTCTTTCTTTCCTCCCCAGCCAGGGAAACTATGCCCCTCTTTGACCCATCCTCCTTTTCCTGTGTCTTTCACTCTTCGAAGATCAATTAATTCAGTCTCACTGGGGCAGACACATGGCTGCTTCCCAAGTCACTCCTCCAACAAAACCCAGTTTTACCCTGGTCTCCACCCTCCTCCATGGCAGCTATATGGTTTGGGGGGTTGAGCCCATCCTCATCCCTGGGAGGGGGATGGTCCTAATTAGTTTAAGCCAGTGTTGGTGGTACCATGACTCTTGCCTGTGACTGGTTTAGGCAGGAACCCATGATACAATTCTGGCCAATGAGAAATGAGTGAAAGTTTATGGGGAGCTTCTGGGAACTCTCTCTCTACTGATAAAAAGAGACACACAGGAAGAGATGCTGCTCCTTTTTATCAGTGACATTGTTGGCTTTGCTGATGATGCTGGATCTGTGGTGACCATCTTGGGACTAATGGGAGCTG